AGTGGGGAATGGGATCAAAAACGGGGGGGGGGGAAGGGAGGGAAATGCACGGGACTATGGTGGTGGCACAGGGGTGATATGGTGATGGGAAACCCATGGGGATTACAATTGAGATGAAAAAAAAATGTGAAAAATGATGTAAAAATAAACTTTTTAATAAAAAAAAAATACCAAAAAAAAAACACACAGGTGCTCTGTATACACACAATTCTGCAAGCTTAGTTTCAAGGGCCACAAGCTTTGCACTTCAATATCCATAGAATTCAAGAGTACAGCATCATACCTTGCCAAAACTTCCTTTCCCCAACATTTTGTGCAAGATAAAATCTTCAATTTTTAACTTCATATGTAGGGATGGTCTTTCTGCGTTGGGCTCAGGTTCTGGACGGTCGCTTATTTTCTGTACCCCATCCAAAGGAGATTCCCAGGAGATTCCCTGAGGCTCTGAAATGACAAGTCAGAGACTAAAATGAGATCAGGAGCAATGAAGAACCTTTCCAGCTACTTCAGACCATTCTCTTCCACTTCCCATTCTGAGGCAGCATCCACAATAATGTGGAAAGAGGGCCGTGTAGACTGTGTCTTGGTCTATATGACACACAGGGAAATTTTTAAGTTAAGAAATGTATTGCAGTCAGCAAAAGATCAGATATGTAACATGAATGAACCCTTTTTATAATGTCAAATCATGGACAGATTAGGGATTTTGAGTTTGAGGAAATGTATTCTCAGTTGCTTGCATGACTCAGGCACAGAAGCATCAATTTATGTGACTCCATGTGAGAGGAGAGGCCATGGATGACAGATTGTTAAATATCTGAATTGTGTCATTCATTACAGTTTTTAAGTTAAGATGCTGTCTAATTTGATCATATCAGACACAGGCTACTTCATCGCCTAGAAACCCTTTCTAAATCTAAGCTAAACATTTCTTTAAAAGTTTTTTTTTTTTTTTTTTTTTTTAAGTCAAGTGCTTGTACAACGACAGAGCATGTATAGAGAAACGTTTTGGTAACCTCCCCCTAGCCCCATGCACTATTTCTTATATTTCAATCCCTGGGTTTATCTTTTTCATTCTCCTTACCTCCAAGGAGTGAAAGTAATTTACACTATATCCTGAAAATCCCAGAACTACATTGTTAGTTTCTCTTATGAAAGATCTTCAAGCAGTAGGTTGGATAAACTTCCATAATATCATACATGTTAAGGATTTTGCATCCTGCGCTTTTCCCTTTCCTACGCTTCAGCTTCTCCAAAAGTCTCAAAGTTCCAGGACCAGATCCTAGTCTACAGCATTCTACCATTCACCTTTATGGTTGATTTATTTCCATGAGACTATTTAACAGTACCAGGAAGCAACATTTGAAAAATATAAGGACAATTTGTAATTGCTTCCTCCATGCCTACCCCATTTTCTCTCCCCACCTCCCCTCTCACAAAGGTTTCATAGTGGGATGTATTTTTGGTTTCAGGTCTAAGAAACTGGAACCCCTTAGCTAAGTCTGTAATCTTTTAAGACACGTATCTATCAGACCAGGAAAATAAAAACATAAGCCCAGAGGACTCTGGCTAAGGTCAGTCAGCGTTCATCACTGACATTGATTCCACCTCGGAGGAGAGCACTACCTCTTTTTCCTGGTGCTGGTACATGTGGCAGCGTGGCTTCACCCTTTATGGCGCATGGGAGACCAATTTCCACTGGGCCTTCTCTGAAGATGTGTTCAGAATCTCTTAAGCAGCGAGCCTGGATTACAAAGACAGAGTCAGACCACTGATAGACCATCCTGCCTGCTCTCCAGGGGGAGGAAGTCATCTACAATTCCTGGACTAATAAGAATACCAAAGCTCCTTTTCCCTTGGCACTCTTTTCTCCTTTTACAGGATCCAGGTCCTGTGAAAACTCAATGTCTGCAATGCACCAGCAGAACATAGCCACTCCCTTCAGACTTTTTAGGGGCCTAATGGTTTCTCCTATGCTATCCACATCATTTTATCATAAATAAGGACAGAGAGGAATGGATGAAAAAAAAAAATAGCTGATACAGGCAGCACAAAGTTTTGAAAGAGCATTTGTTCTTGGCTGTGTGGCTTACACACATGACTAATAAATGGAAAGCCAACGTTGCTCTGGACTCAGTGTCCGGAGGCCATCGGAGGGTTGATATTAGCAAGTAAGTGTTCCCCATAGGCTGTTCCATAACCTTAGTTATAATGCTGGCAATGAATCCTCCGTAATTTTAATTAAATTATTTGGTTCTGTCCCGGTTCACTCCACAGAGAATTTAAGCTCTTCTAAGGGTCCATGCAAGATAAATGCATTAAATAAATCAGGAGAAGTACGTGTTGAGTGTGAATCGGGAACTTTCCACCTCAACAACTTCCTTACCTGTTGCGTGCTCTCAATCATTGCCAGTGCTTCAGCCATTAGTTTCTGGTTGATGCCACACAGGTTGGCCACCTTGGTCTGGCATCTGTGATGGACATTCATGCCACATGCTGGAAGGAAGACAGCAACACCATGAGCACGAGTGCCCGCAGGCCCGGATATGTATACCACCTGTTGTTGGGACCGGATGTTTGCAGGAGCAACTGGCAAATCCCTGATGCCATCTACCCACCAGAGGGAAATACGGAATCAAAATAGAGTGGCTCTTTTATGACACTAGCCAACAAATAAGTAAAAAGTCAGCAAATAAAAATATCAAGAAAATTCAACTGATAAAACCTTATACAATAGGATGATGCCGCTATGGCTCTCCCTCCCCTTCTGAAACACACAGGCCAGGCGCTCCAGGGCTGGAGGCTGGGGAATGACTCCGGGCATGGCACCCCAGGCCTGTGGGCTGAGTGCACTAGGCCGTTGCTGGGAGGAGGCAGCAGGCAGGGCTGGCTCACCCCTCTGGGGTGTGTAGTGTACAGTGCTGGGTGGGAAGGATCTCTTTCCCACTTAGACTGAGCTGAGCACCCCTGGAACCCAGGGAGAACCTCAAGTTGCAGAACAGAGAAGGTGGGGGTGACCTGTGTCAGTGTGAGGTTGGCAAGGTGGGAAAGTGGCCCCTTGGTCACATTCCTAGCGGTGGGGGGAGGGTTCATTGAACCGAACAACTTGTGGAGCTGAGACCTCTGATGTGTATGTGTGAGGAGGTGAGAATTCTGATCCTCTTCCTTGTAAGCAGAATGATAAAGGTTTACTTTCCTGTCACTGTCCTTTTTAGATTGGGGTATGTGTCTGCCTGGGTGTTGTGTAAGTACAACTATTACGTCATGATGTTAGTTTTAGAAAATTGATTTTCTGTGTATGAAACATCACCCTTACAATGAGAATAAAAAGCTAACAAAGACTTCTAATTTTTAGCTGTAGAATCCTAATCTTAAGCCCTTCTTGATTCTGTAAAAGTATATCAGAAAGCATTGTCATAATGGATTTAGGCAGGAGAAACTTTATCCTCTTATTAAACAATTTGCTTGCAAAAGAACTTAACACAGAGAATGGCACCTAGTAGATGCTCAAGAAATACATCATCTCTTAATCTTCATTATCCATGATCGTGAAATGCTTGTTAAGCTACCTAGGTGAAATTTTAGCAGCTGCCGCCACTAGTTTTAATGAGCTCCCCCTGCCTCACTGCAAAACAAAACAGTGGCTCTTTTTCAATGTAAATAATTACAAAAGATTGCTTGTCCCTGCCTTGATGCATCAAGTCAAAAAAATCCCTTTGAAGTGAAATCTTTTATGCATATTAAAGTCTTAAGATAGTAAAGATGCTTTAGAAAGAAGTTCTGCTCCTCCGAGCTGGGCATTACTGGCGCGACCCACTTGTGGATGCGGGCTTTCCTCCAGGTGGCCCTGGCCCCCTGATCTTCATTCTTGCCAGGCTAAGGGCTTAGTGAGGGGTGGGCTCCCAGAGAAGGCTTCACATAGCGCCTAACAATGGCAGCCTCTGCGCACTTGTCTCGCACTTGTCTCGGAGCCTCTGTGAAGAGAAGACCCCTGGCCCAAGGACAGTGTGCTCAGTCTCTCCTACTGACCTATCAGGTGATAACTCCACCTCTGAGCGTGCAGAGAGCCCTGCTGGATGACTATTTTCATGGGAATTGAGTGACAGAGTCAGGCTGAGGAGAAAAGGAGGCCCTACCTAGGGGGTGGCTTAAAAGAGAGCAGATACAGAGGGAAGGGAGGAAAGTGAGAAAAAGGGGTTGACAGCAGAGGGCAAGTCTGGGAGAGGACAACAGCATGCAGAAGTGAGGAAGCAGGGGCTTGGGAGTGTTAGAGGCCAGAACAGAATGGTGGGAAGGGAGAGGGAGGGAAGGAGAGAGGGGAGAAAAGGGGGGGAGAAAGAAAGGAGGGAGGGGAGCTCTTTCAAGTATAGGAGGTGGGAGAGTATGGAATGGAGAATAGAATGGAGAAGAAAGAACCCAGAAGAAGACAAAACAAAGCAAGGCATGGAGGCGTGAAATAATGGCAAGGAATTGTCGTGGAGTTCTAGCTGAGGGACCAGTATGACTTCTGAGACTGGATGTGGAGCTCCAGGGAAGGACACCTGAACGGGGAGACCTTGTAGACCCCCCCCCCCCACAGAGGAATGATTACTCACATTCTGTTGTATGGTGAGAGTATTGTGAATTGCTTCTTGCCTACAAACTTTTTTTTTAAAGGATTTATTTATGCATACAAGAACTGGATCTAGGCAAGAGGTGGGGGGAGGGGGCGGCGAGGGATTTCACCAGAGACAGAGTGAGGAGCAGAACAGGTGGATCTACTGAAATATATTGCTGAGGGGAGCAGTAGCCAAGACCGGAGAGGTCTGCTGTGCTCTGTGGGTCAGCTCTCCTGGGTGGGATGGAATTCATGCTGCAGTGGCTGCTGATAGCTTACATTGCTTAGACTTAACCCCTTCCACCACAGCGAGGCCCACCTATGTAGACTTGGACAGGGATGCAGAGAAAAGTGCATAGGTTCTATGCTTGGGCTTTGAGAGAGCTATGTGAGCTTGACTCGTGTTTGAGCTTGGGTAATGACTGGAAAACTGAATCCTCCCTGCCTCCTTTGAGGTGTCACCTCACATGCCAGGAGCCACAGGAACACAGTTGAGGTGAGGAATGGGGAGACATCTATTTCACGAGGTAAAATGGGCACCAAGAAAAATTAAAATGGCATCAATGTTGATTACAGGTCTGTGCTGCAGGAAACCTCCCTAGTCCCTTCCTGCATCCACATTCAGATGTATAAGTGCTTTGTCATTGCTGGTTAGAATTGTTTTCCTTCCTCCTCCATAATCCTGGCAATACAGCATCTCAGCTTCTAGAGGTTATTGTCTTAGCTGTGTGGAATTTTAGAGCAAGAAAGCCCTTTCTGCTTTTTCTCAGGCAGGTCTGAGTAAGTCCATCAGAGAAGGCTGCACGAGCGACTCAGCTGCAGAGCTAGTGTCTGAGGTGAGACAGACAGGAGAAATGACAGTTAGTACCTAGGGGCCTCTTCCTGGGTGCACTGAGTTTGCAGCACAGTTTGAGGATAGTGTAGAACCATCCACCAAGCAGCTGTGCTAGGCTTTCTCCTGAGGGGACTATAGGAAGGCTCAGACTCTTAGTGCAGTGGCTGGGGACAGGAGCTCAAGTCTGGGAGGGACAGGCCCTGGATACCCAGACTGAGCAGGGTAGGTTTTAAGTGCTGGGGCTATGTCCAATTGAAGGCAGTAGGCTAGGAGCCTGCCTGGCTTACATCCTGAATATTCTACACATATCTGGGACTCAAGGATTAGGGTGTTGGGGATGCAAGGAAAAGAAGAGCCATGGCTGAGTGTCCCAGGAATTTCTCTTTTGTTATCTTGGGGCTGGTCTGGTTGGTTGAAGAAGTCAGCGCCTTCCTCCTACCCTTCCCCTCTCCCTCTCCTCTTCCCTCTGTTGGGCCCTTCATGGAAACCTCCAGTCCTTTCCTTAAGGGGCCCTCCACAGCGCCCTTCACCATGGACTCACCATCACATTTCAGTCCTTGCTTAGCCAGGCCCCACAGCAGGGTCCCACAGTGCTCACAGAAGGTCGGGCTCTTGTAATTGTAGACTTTGAACCGATGTGGCATATCAATTTTGAACCTCTCCTTGTGGAACTGACAGGGAGGAGAGAACATGTGACTTTCTGTGTTTCCCTGGGATCTATATTTTTTTTAAAGGTTCATTTATTTATGCATACAGAACTGGGGTACAGGCCAGAGGTGCAGGGATGGTGAGATGTTTCACCAGAGACAGAGTGGGGAGCAGAATAGTCAGATCAACAAAGTATACTGCTGAGGGGAGCAGCGGGCGAGACAGGAGAGGTCTGCCATGCCATGTGGGTCACCTCTGGGGCGGGGGATCGAACTTGCACTGAAGCAGCTGTGGCCAGCTTGCAGTGCTGTGTTCTAACCCGCTGTGCCATCAGGGAGGGCCCGGGATCCAACTTTTGATGTCTTAGCTAATATTTTAGTGTAGCCAGCAGCAAGAAAAAAACATGAGCATGATACATATTTTAAACCGTAATTTATACTTGTCAAACTTAGAGTCCTGCCAAAAGAAATCAGACATACATCAGACATATGTCTTCTGGGTAGGGTGAGCTGGCCATGGACATACATCAGCTAACGTGGAGACACAGATGCCTGAGGCATTCCCACGGGAAGGCAAACATTTCAGGAAGAGGGGACTAGGGCTATTTATTTAAGTGGGAGCTAAGTAAACATCACACTTTTCTTCCTCTTTTAATATAAATATTTCCTTTTCTCTTTCAGTCCAGAACTAGTGCTTTAACCTTTGGGAGATGTTATGTAACTAACACCTTCTCTAAAGTGAACCTTGCTGTGGGCTTATTAGTAAAGGGTCTGACACATTTCATCCCCATTCTACATGGACTGGGGAAGCCAGAGGTAGTCACAGCTCCTGGACACGTCATATGTGATATGTTTTACACATATGCTAGCCCATGTAGCCTTCAAAATCCTACACTTGACACCACCACTATTAGTACCTTCGTTCGATAGACAAATTGTTTTGTGCTCCACTGTACATAGTACTGTCTCTTCCATGTATCAGATATGCAATAACTATTTGAGGAACGAAGAAGAAAAGAGTAGGAGAAGGACGACTGCCTCATTCCACAGTTCTGTTTCCCTTTCCCCATGGGATAAAATAAAATCTTGTCTCCAGAGGGTACACCATAAACCTTATTTTAAATTAGATACTCGCCTTGACGTAAGAATTATAGTTCTGTTATCATCTCTTACTAACCTTGTAAAAGCTTATAATCTGTATTTTATAATTCGTTGCCCGTATTTAGTCTTTAACTGTCATTTCCAGTTATAGAAGCCACACGAGTTTTCCTTCTACAATTGAGAAAACTATGCCTTCAGGACACTTTCTATGATGATTTTTGGGAAAAGTAGAATCACAAAAATTTTTATTATGCTTTTCTTATTCTTCGCCTCATTTTGGATTCAGTCATGATTATTGACAAGGAAAGGATTTTAGGGAAATTGATGTTCACTGATAAGCATAAGGATTCAAGTTCCAACATTTTTAAAAACAATTGGTGGCTTGTGAAATTTAACTTCTGGGTAAATCATCATACTCAGACAAAGAGAAGACTCTTGGTACGTACCATAGTTTCTCGGCTGTTGATGGCTGACCCTGTGCACTTAGCAATAACTTTATCAATACACTTCTTGTGGATTGCTGCATTGCATTCTAAAAAGAAATGATTGTCGCTTAAGATTTTTAGGAATTAAGGGACAACTAAATAAAAAGAAGGACAATAACAAAACCAACCCTTCTTACTTACGTCGGCACTGGTAGCCCTGTTTGTTCAGACCCCTGCAATAAAGCACATTGACTTATTTGGGTTGACAGCAACATTGGCAGCAAAACTAGGTAATGCAAAAGGTGGCACGATCTCCTGGCTTCCTACAACCAGAACTTGAGCAGTAGCCCCCGGTCACGTTGGCTGGGAGGGATAACTTGTAATTTTTAATTTAAACTGCTTTGTTAAAAGTCTGAGAAATCAATGAGGAACTGTTGATTTTCATTTCATTTGCATATTTTCCAAACATGTAGGGATTAAAATGCTGGACTGAAATGCACTGCAGGCTCCTAGTAGCAAATTTCCATATCTTGTACTTAACAATTCATTGCTTCACAAAGCTCAGTAGGTGAGCAAAAATACTTTATTTCCAATATCTACTATCTGAAAAATAGTTGCACCTAGTAAGTTCTCAGGCTTACGACCAATTCCTGAGTAAAACTCACCATGTGCTAGAAAGGCAGGAGGATTAAGTTATTCTATGAAAACAGGTTGACTGAAATCCACCAAAGGATGAACTTTGGATACCCTGATTAAACTGGGATTGTGCATTAGTGGATTCTGCAGTAGCTCAAAGGGAAGCACAATCTGTTAAGAGGCAAAAACTCTGGGAGCCACAGAGAAGTCCTTTCATGTCTCCATTCTACTATAGCCTTTGCAGTGTGGTCACTGAGCCTTGAACCAATTTCTGTCCCAGGGCTGTTAAGACACCCAAGAGTCTTGTAAACATCTAAATCCATTAGCTCCGATGGGAAAGTGTTGCCTATTGCAGACATTAGTTCCAGCGTAGTTGGGCTGTTGAAGTGGTGAAAATTTCGACTGTAAAATTGTGCTTGCAGTAAAGATGTCTCCTTCTGCGGTTCCTTCTCTTGTATCCCCAGCAACCTCCCATTTCATTAGAAATGAGAGTCCTTTGAGCCTTTTCCTGATTGGACCTGGCTTCCTTGCTCAGCAGGAGCCACATTATGAAAATCTTTTATAGAATAACAACTTTTAAGACTTCTCAATCTAGGTGAGGCCACTGAAAACTCTCAGGTAGTATTCCAGCACCTCCCCCTCCCGTGTACCCCCAAAGTAGAGCATGCCAGGCTTGTTAGACTATAAGGATGCAACAAAATGCATAGCCCTGAGCTTGGAGTGAAATGCAGAATTACATACCAGACAAACTCGTGGCAGACGGAGCAAAATGTAGGTTGTGGGAAGAAGGTGGCTGTAAACTCATGACACTTGACATGATGGACTTTGGCTTGTTTAATGGCTCCTCGGCGGTGATGCAATGCGAAGAAGCCTTCAGCCTCAAATTCACTCATGTCCTTTGTGTCTGTGGGAAGAGAACGGACAAAGTGAAGCTTTGTGGAATGTCTATCACAGGCGGATGGGGAGGTTGGAGAGATGGTAGGGAACTAAGATAGATATGGAATTAGACAGGTGCCTAGGCCAGTGAAACTCTTAAGTGGTCATTAAGGTCAGTACAATACTAACTTCTTTCCTTGATTCCATAACATGGAATTATCTTAGGGTATATTATTATAGAATTGAAACAATGAGGTTGGATCATTGCTTAGTCATTCACCCCTCTTTGACTATGCTAAGTTATCCTCTTTTAGTTTTAAAACCAACAGTCAGAACACTCAAGGTATTAATCTACCTCCTGTTCACTGCCATTGATGAGTCAGCCAGAAAAGGCAGGAAGTGGCAAGGAGCTTACTGCCTCTAATTCTAGAGAATAATGTGGTTTTTTTTTTTTTGTAAAGATTTATTTATTTGTACATACAGAACTGGGGTACAGACCAGAGGCTCAGGGGCGGCGAGAGGCTTCACCAGAGACAGAGCGGGAAGCAGAACAGGCAGATTGACGAAGTACACTGCTGAGGGGAGCAGCGGACGGGTCAGGAGAGGTCTGCCGCGCCATGTGGTCACCTCCGGGGCAGGTGGGAATCAAACTCATGCAGAAGTGGCTTTAGCTTCTCAGTGCTATGCTTTAACCCGCTGTGCCACCAGGGAGGGCCGAGAATAATGTGGTTTTTGACAGCAACTTGGGAAATTTTTATATTTTAAAAGATTTATTTATGCATATAGAACTGGGGTACAGGTCAGAGGTGCAGGGGGTGAGAGGATTCACCAGACACAGAGTGGGGAAGCAGAACAGGCAGACTGACAAAGCACACTGCTGAGGGGAGCAGTGGGTGATACAGAAGTCTGCTGTGCCCTGTGGGTCACCTCCGGGGCGGGGGATTGAACTTGTGCTGCAGCAGCTGCAACTAGCTTTGTAGTTCTGGCTTTAATCCATTGCACCACCAGGGAAAGTCCAAGAAAGATTTTTTTTTTTTTTTTTTTAGGTCCCACAGTGCTTTACATCTGATTGGTAAGATGACTAGAGGACGCTGGCCAGACTTGAGTGTGAGGGCATAGGACGTTGGGAAGTTATTTGTGCTCTGGTCCCTGATATCCACAGTAATCAGACATACAAGCTATAGATTTTGCAGGTCAGTGTGGAAGGGAGTGTAGAAAGAAGGAAAACATTAACTGATAGTTAGAATTTTTTAATGCCTAGATAGTGCTGGGCATTACCTATGCTTCCACATCAAATCATCATATTCACATTGCCTATTACCCTAGGGTTATGGAAAATAGGGAAGGTACTTTGGGTAGTGACTAACTGGAGCAGAGGATTTCTTTCTAAAAGACTTAAGAATTCTGAGAATACTAGTGATGTGAGCCGTGAAGCCCAGGTCCAAACGAATTATATACCAAGGCAGTTGTGGTCAGTGAAAACTGCAATATGTTAGAATTACAGAGTAAACAATCAAGACATAACAAAAATAGTCCTTGATGAGTTAAGGATAATGGATTTAATGAGTATGACTTAAAGATCCAGATTACTTTTCCATTCTTTTATTTTTACAAATATAAAAAAATAGAGGCTTAGTGAGAAATAAGGGGCTCATCAAATTTCACAACTGTATCAAGTTAACAGTATTTAAACTATTTCCATTTTGGCTAAGCAGTAGCAGAAGTTTGAGAAAATCCCTGCCAAGATACCTTCCGCCCATATCCCTAGTATTATGACTTGGCTAGAAACACATTGGGTAGACAGTAGCAAGGCTACATAGGTGGACAGCTCTTCCCCAGGAATCCTGCCAAATTGCAAGATCCAGTTTTGACTAGGAGTCTTCTCCACGGTGGCTCACAGGTCTGTTTTATGGGAACTCCAAGAAAAAGTCATTCCCAATAGCCTTCTAAGGAGTTCCACTGAAGGGACAAAATAGTTTAGTTAGGTACTTCAGCTATTTTTATTTGGACCTGGGCTGGAAACAAATAAGCCTAGTTGAATGAGGGGCTAAATTTAGGGTCATCAAAGCAATCTACCTTTTCCCATAAATTCTGCAGTAAATGTAGTGGTCTGTTAACAACTTGTGGTTGGCTATTATAGTCAGTTGTTAGTAAAATTTGACTCTGTTTCGGTCTAGATGGAGTGAACCACAGCATAAAATTACTTGTAAAATTCAGAGGATGGAAGTATATTATTCTGGAACCCTAACTATATACTGTAAAAAATTATTTGTGTGTGTGTGTATTATACATAATGTGTCATATTGCAATTTTTTTTGAAAGTACTAGAAGTGAATTTATTTCCTTTGTTCCAGCCCCTAAATATTTAGGGAATCTCCTTCACCTTGTAACCATTTTGATCTTTATGAGAGAATGCATGCAACAAAACTCAGAATTTCTTCAATTCTTCTGATATGGACTGCTTATTTCTGAAGTAATTTGCTATTCTACTTAATGATTTCTATGAGTTTATTGGGTTTTATATGTTTATATCTTTTTTACAAAATGGTTTTCTAATCTATTTTTTTTTAGCCTAAACTCACTTATTTGTAGTTAAACCATGTGTTTCCTGAGCAGCTATGAGCAGATTGCTACACTGAAATAATTAGATGCTACCCCTGACTTGGAGCAGACATGGCCCTAAACAGCTAATCAGAGGGAGCGTAGGGTGGTGCAGAAGGCCTGGGAGGTGCACACCCACATGTACAGCTCTGGAAAACTGAATTGCAAAAGATACAACCAAGTGGTTTAAAGTGCTATTTAAACAGCTGGAAAGGCAAACAAATAATAAGAGGAAGACAAATAATAGCACATGTGTGAGCTAAGAAGAGGGGTTCTCAGCACTGACTGATAGAAGATCTCAAGGGAGTTGAAGGCGAGAAAATAGGAATTTGTTTTGAGGATTCATACTCTCATTTAGCAGATTGATCGAAATATAAGCCAGACTCAGAGTTTAAAAATTGATAGTGTTGTAAAGAAATAGGGACGAAAATACTATAATGTTGTATGTCAGTTTAAAAAAGATGTAGAGGGAGTTTCAAATTGGGTCTAGATTTAAAAAACTGTAAATATTATTTTGTTCTTAAAAATACTTCCTGAGCTTGGGTTATTGTTACTTGTGATTTATCCTTGGTTGTGACCCACCTGAATTTGCTCTCTCATTCTAAGAGAAAATTCAAGTTCCACAGGAATGGGCAGAGTCAGGGCATTGTTTTTCCAACCAAGGATCCTTAAACCATTTACCTAACGAAAGTACTCTCATTCTGAAGGGGGGCTTAGTTCACTTTATATTAGTACACTTTCGTTATGTAAGAAAGTAGCTATTTTTTAGTATTATCCCTTAGGCCAGTACTTTTACTTTTTATCCAGCTAGTGATTTAGTGATTTAACAGTCAGTCTTACTTGGTCAACTCAAAAATGGCACAATGACATGTATATACTTGGAGCTTCCAAGAGAAAAGAGAAGAAGAATTTAGTGTACATCTTCCCCTCCTTAGGAATTTTTTCTCCTAAAAAAAAAAAAAATCATCCTGGGAAACTTTAAGTATGTACAACATGGAGGAACTAATGTAATCAGTTTCCAAATAGCAATCACAGTTAACCAATACAAGGCCACTGTCTTCAGCAGACTCCACACACTCTCCTACCCTGAGCAAAGGGCTCTTTAGAAGCAAATCCCTGGTATCATATTATCTATAAATATTTCAGTATGTATCTACAAAAGATGACCTCTTTTCAAAAAACATAACCACAATATCATCACATTTAAAAAATTAATAACAGTGCTTCAATATTATCATCTCTCTGATGAATGTTCAGATCTCCTTGACTAGCTCATAATACGCCTTTTCTTTTCAGTGTATTTTCCGACTCCAAACCCAATATAAATCTATGTTAAGCAGAACCCCAGAAAGCATCATCAACCTCTCAAATTTGTTTCTTGTAATAAAACTAATTTTTTAAAAAAGGTGAATTTGGTTTCTTTTCTGTAAATTCATATAACCATTATGAAATTTAGGCTTTTATGAGCCTTTGACATAAACATTCTGGTTTAGATTTAAATATTCTGGTTTATATTGAACAACGTAAGTGTCATGAGAGAAAGGAGAAGCTGTTCACCAGGACCGAATACGCTGCTTATACATGCAGCTTCTGCCCCCCACCCCCCATTGGGTGACATGGAACCAGAACTCCTTAGCAGTGCGTTTGTTCCTAAACAGATTTGAGGTGACTAACTTGAAGCACTAACGTTTTGCCACTAGTGTTACGGAAAATATCTATTGGTTTCTTTGTGTTCTTACTGACAGTGTGAAAGCTTATTCTGTCACATTATTTATACACAGACAATGTGTACACACAGAGCCATATGGATTCTCTTGCATTTACATTAAATTCCCAAACTAAAATAAAGTTCTAGCCATTAGAAACTAGTGCTGTAAATGGTTTGTTTAGACTGCTGCGTTGCTATCTAGCCCACATAATGTATTGTCAGCTCATGCTGGACCACCACTAAAGAGTTTAAGAAAATTCCTTCTGCTTCCATTTGTCCTAATTCTTTCCTATGTAATTGCAAAAGTAAGTAAGTTGCACCTGAGAAGAAGGGACACGCCTTCCTCCCCCCCAAACAGAATGAAGAAATGTCACTTGCCACTCATTTCCAGAAAGTATCTTGCGTTCATTAGCATTCGGCCTTGAGGTTTCAGCTCTAACTGGTTGAGAAGAGAGAGAAATGTCAGTCAGAATGTGAAACAAGTCAGTACGTGACATAATAACTGGTGACTTGAGCAAGGGTAGAGGATTTCCAGTGCAAAGCCCAGGCCTGGCTCCCTCTCACTTCACTCACATGTGGCACGGAGGCTGTGCATATAGCCCTTGCTTTATTGCCACACCTTTGCAATTCATTGCAATTCATTAGTTTTACTGGGAGGTCAAGACTTCCACAAGGAAGAAACAAAATTCTACAACAGATTGCAATTGATTTTCTTGCCCTGTGCTCTTTTTCTGGGGAGTTCTAACATGGCAAGTTCAGTTCTTTTTATTATTTATTTATGTGCATAGAAGAACTGGGGTGTTGGCCAAAGGTGTGGGGGGTGAGGCAGAGTGGGGAGCAGAACAGGCAGATTGATGAAATACACTGTGGAGGTGGGCAGCGGGTGATACAGCGGTCTGCTGTGCCATATGTGGGGCAGCTCCCTGTTCAGAGATCAAACTGAGACTCTAGAGGTGACAGTGTTGAAACTTAACTCCCAGGCTACCAGGAGGCCCCCAAATTCAGTTCTTAGGCAAAAGAACTGAAGGTGGAACTGACTCACTTTGGAAGGAAAGATCAAGTTGTCTTTGAGAGTCACCACCGCCCTTTTCCTTCTTCTCTCCCTCTCCTCCCCGCACCCCCACATATACTCTCCAGGTTAATCAGGAGGGTAAATGAGAATGACCTTTTTTCTTTCACATGGGGTGATGGTTTTCTTGGGAAAGTATTGGATAATTTACTAAGAGAAATTTTAATTATATTGGTCCAAGAAGGGGTAAAAACATATTTTGGTATCATCATGTAGAAGGGACCAGAACAAAGTGACATTTAAGGGACGGTGCAGGATAGCATGTCACATGACATAAGAGGGAAAATGGCAAATCTAAGGTAATCTGACCACTACTGCTACATACTAAACCCACCACTGTATTACTAATACACTAAAAAGATTAAGACAGTGAACTAAAGGCCATTACTGGCGACTATATCCATGGTTAACGGGAACAGCTAAAAACCAGCATGTGTCCAACAGAACCCGGGACTGAGCTTGAATTGTGGCTGAATAATTTCGTAGCTGTACAAGTTTGTTCAAATCACTAAGCCCTCAAGAATTTCTGAAAAATGGACCTAGAGGTCACTCCAATGTTAAAAATCACTACTATTAGAATTTTATATTAACTTACATTATTTGGTCAGTTATACGTTCTCTTGCAAGCTTGAAGAGATTAATGAAAAGCAAAGTACCTCTGACATCAGTTATATATATCATTGTTCGCTGGGTTGTGAAATAAGTAATAAAGATAGAGATAAAGGGCTCTTCCTGGTGGTGCAACGGGTTAAAGCGCAACATTACAAGCCAGCACAACCACTTCAGAGTGTATTAGATCCCAGCCCTGGAACTGACCCACATGGCACAGCAGACCTCTCCTGTCTCGACCACTGCTCCCCTCAGCAGTGTACTTCATCAGTCTGCCTGTTCTGCTCCCCACTCAGTCTCTGGTGAATCCTCTCACTGTCCCTGCACCTCTGGCCTATACCCCAGTTCTGTATGCACAAATAAACAAATCTTTAAAAAAGTAGAGATAAAAATGGAACTAGAAGAGAGGGAGATAAACAGCAACTAAAATGGTGAAAATTTATCAGTATTTACGACTAGCGATGGAAGAAATTAAACCTATGCATAGAAAGTCATATTCCACCAGGTTTTGTGAAGTGGTTTAGGAGGTTGCGATACAAACAGTTAAAGGTTTGGGAAAAGAGAAGGCTGGTCTTAGTGTGTTTAGAAACTGGAAGGTGTCGATGATGGTAAAAAACAAAACTCAGAAAATATTAATTTTGAAATAGTGACATTTTCAGAAGGCAGATTTTCAATAGAAGCAACATTGGAAAATATAGGTCCAAAACAGTCTCTAAATACTATACATAAAAGTAAACTAAGAAATAGTTGAAAAAAAAAGGTGAAAATGAAAAAAAACTATGAGTTAAATAAGGATCTGAAGGCCACTAAGGGCTATCACTAAGTAATCCTAGAATATAAAGTTACTGAAAAGTTTGATAGGAATAAAAATAGAAAAAGTCTAGGTTAGAGGTCAAATGCAATTTTAAGAGAAATAAATGGAAACATAACTTTTTACCATTGATACCTAACAACAGGAATTAAAAATTACTTATCCTTTCACTAACTGAGAGTGAAATCAAATAGCACTTTACTTTTAAAATTTAGGAAATTGATGACTTTTATCTCTGGCCAGACATGGATCCACATGGTGCAGCAGATCTCTCCTGACCTGCCCGCAGCCCCCCTCCTCAGTGTTCTTCAGTCTGCCTGTTCTGCTCCCCACTCTGTCTCTGGGGAATCCTTTCACCCCCTGTACCTCTGGCCTGAACCCCAGTTCTTGTATGCATAAATATATAAAAATCTTAAAATATATATAAGGCAGAAAATAAATGGGAGTGAGGGGAAAGCAGGGAAGACGTCCAGTCCATCGCTTCCTCCAGGCCTTGCCCGAAACCTCCCTGCCTTGGGGCCAGCTGCAGTCTGAGCCCCCCTCACTCACCTGGCTTGTGTAAACCAGTATATACAGCCATCTATAAAGATTGGTGTCTCTGTTTCTATTTATAAATTATTTCAATTTATAAATTTCTATTTATAAATTTATAAATTTTAAAGGAGAATTTTTTTTCACCTCATATATGAATACAAGAGACTTGAATATGTCACTGTGTTCTCTGGGCCATGAGTGGAAGTCAACTCATCATACTTCCAGGATGACACTGAAATTTTCAGCTAGTCTTCAGCCATTATGATCTTTAGCACTTAACAGGACATGCACTGTCAAGAAAGCTCACAGACTAGACACATACCCATATTTCTGTCTTCCCATTGTTCTTCTTACATCTCTCAGCCAGGGAGTAGAGTTCCACGGTGGTTTCGGATATTAGGTCCACATTTTTACCCTTCACGATGATCTGCATCACTCTTCCTTTGTTGATGTGAGCATCGAAGGTGCTGTCCCAGGGTGGGTACATGGTTGGCTTTTTCTGGATATACATCTGCCCATTCTCTAGGCACAGAAAGAGGTGTTCTCATTACACTTTTAGCCAACTCTGGGAGATAACCCAGCAGCATTTCACATTCCCTCTGGCCTCTAGGATATTTAATTCTTTTGAGAACACTGTAAGAACACATCAGACCACTAGAGACAACATAGGCCTGAATGAGACTGTGTCTGGCTCTACATACAAGATAATTTAAGCAGCAAAGATCTGATCATGGCTTAGTATGACAATTGCCTTTCCCTCCTCTACAGCTGGTTGACTCAGACGGCGAGCAAGAATTTGGGAGGCTGAGCCTCGTGTATTTGCCATGGAACAGGGACACAGAGCTTGCTCTTTACATTTTATATTTTTCTGCTGTTCGAGACCGGCCTTTGTTAGTCTAAAAAAGGCTGTCATTTGGCCAATAAATTTTGCTGGTATTTGAAAAAGTAGAGAATACAAAACAAACAAACAAAAAAATGTCATGAGTGTACCTTTAAAAAGATTCTTACCATTTTCCACCTGACATAAATACACTTAAAATATAATAAACAACATTTCCTCCTCTAATTTTCAATTGAAGATACAGTTTACATATACCATCCACTACAAGCAAAGACTACTGCCAGGGAAGAGGTTCTCCTCCACAGAGTTGGCAAAACAGGCCTGAGAGGGCAGGCAGGCAGCTGGGATCCTGCAAATGGTTAGTACTAGAACCATGATTAGCATGGTGGGTGCAGAGAAACCGCTCCAGAACCTCCAACTGACTGGAGAAGAGTTCATCAGTGGGGTTAGTCTTTCATCCATATGGATTTCCTGTAGTATTTATTCTTTAATCATTCCAGAAGCAAAAATCTGTAGTTGTACTTAAGTGTTTGTGTCTTGTGATAATAAGTACAGTTGGTGATAGATTTAATAATTCAGAATTTCCCTTAAAGTAGAGCAGTTTTGATGGCCCTTTCTTTCCAACACATGAAGCTAAAACAGAACGGACATTTGTTAAATTGACATTTTGGAAATATACAAAGAATTGAACAAGCTGAAATTTCAAACTCAGTTAAAGCTGGCTATCAGAGGTAGAAAATCAAACATCACTGAAAGAAGCCTCGCTGGAGATTGGGCTTTTAAACTTTTGTGATATTTATTTATTTTTAATGAAGGCAACAGTGGTCTATACCATTATACATAATTAGGAGGTATAGGATGCCACCTTTCAGATGTATGTTTCCATCCCACACCCACCACCAACACACCTATAATGAGTTTGGGCTTTTTAAACACCAGTGCCCATATTAAGCATCAGAATAACATTTTACTTCCAAGGACTTGAAGTCTCTCCTTTTCTCAACTATAACCATCCCTGACAAATGTACCCAGTCAATTTCCAGACCCTGACAGAGGACAGGACCTTCCCCAGTAGGGTATTCACTAGGTTTGTCATCACCTAAAAAGAGGATGAGAACCCAGGATCCTTTCTACCCAGGATGAGCCCATTTCTCTCCACAGCTCAAGGCTGCAGCACTGTGTCCTATTTGTCCCTGTTCTATGGACTCATCATGGAAAATTCATCCCAAAGACTGGGACAACTCTATAGAAGCAAGTTCTTTAGAAGTAAAGCTTCTATACTTCTATAGTTAAAATTCTATAGAAGTAAAACTTGAATTGTAATGTTCAGAGTGATTTCTTTTCAGAATAAAGCCAAAACAAAATCAAAAACAAAAATCTCCAAACTCTACAGGCTAACCTTTTGAAAAAACAAAGTTGTCTTCTTTTTTGACAAGGTTCCTTGATCCACATGGCTGATTAAACCAAGTTCAAAGGCAAGGCCAAAAGAAGAAGAAGAAATGAAAAAACCAGACTCTCAGGAGGCAAATGTCAGCGAGACCTGCGGTTGTAAAAAGAACTGGATCCAGGAGACCCATTAAGTCAAAAGCAGCTTTGAAAAACCCAGACGTTTTACACTTCAAAGATTTCTATGACATTTGAAAGGTTTTAGATTGGGAGCAAGTGCCATTCTCACTTTTAACTAAAGAGGAGAGAAATCTGTGCACTAGGGAAACCAAGATGAATTCAGATGTCTCCTCAGCTTTGATGCACTCACAGTGGCTAGAAGGATGAAGTCAACCATGCAGCAGCAGGAGACTTTTAAGAGAGGTAGCAGCCAACATAGTAGGATTTGGAATCCCAGAATTCTGAACTGGAGACATGTGGCTAGAGGTTCTTGATTGCTGACTCGGGTTCCCCTGCCACCTATAAATGTCACCTTCTTAGAGACCCTTAGGACTACTTTATGATAGAAACACATACACTATACTTTTATCTCTGTAACCCACATCTCCATTCTCAGCCCTTCTGTCTCTTTTTTGCTCTGCTTTATTTTTCTGAACAATATATATATACACACACACACACACACACACACACACACACACACACACACACATATATATATATATATATATATATATTTGTTTATTTCCCATCTTCCTCTGATAGAATTGAAGCTTTAAGGAAGTCTGATGGCACTGATTTTTACTCAGCCTCCATCTTGTACCAGCAATAATCACACTTAACTCCAAGTATCTGCTGCAACAAGAAATAAGGAAATGTAATGAGCCTAGGATATAAACTTCCTCCTGTCTTTCCTTGAGAAAGCTCATAAGAACTGTAAATGCAGAGATGGGGATCAAGCCTGCTGAAGTGATGAGGGAGAAGCCCCAACAGAAGAGGATTATTTTAACTGAAGATCTAAACCCACAACAGGAATCTCAGAGGCTGTCACACTCCTTACCACAAACCACCTATAAATATTTAAATTTGACAAGATATGACTATTTTCACTCATCCACATCTTAGTAAATGTAAAAGTAAATTTCCTGAATTTTGGATTCTAACAGTTAATTATATATTATTTGCAGCATTCTTCTAAGCTTAGCCAAAGAAGCAGGAAAGCATCTTTTGCGTTAATATTAGGTTATGCAAACTCACTAGCTATAATCATATAAAAAACAACCAGTCTTAACAGTACAGGTCCCATGTTCTATTTTAGTTCACTTGTACATTTTTTTTCCTGTTACTGTCCAAAGCCCATTGCTTATTTTCTTTGTGCATGTGGACATGGTTCAGTTAAATGGAACATGAGCAGAAGACCTGGGGCTAGTTCAGAGTCTATCACTAAATTCATTTGCCCTTGAGGAGGAATTGATTTTCTTGGCATCAGTTTCCTGAATGATAAAATTAAGTTGAAACAGAAGACCTTGAAGATTGGGACGGCCTGACTTCACAGTTTATGGCAGTATCTTTCTTTTCCTTCCCCACCCTCAACACCCACTCAAGCTTACCTGATTCAACAAACTCTTTGACGAGCACAGCGCAGTAGGGGTTAACAGCCTCTCCCTGGCACGGCTGGCAGGACCCACAGTCAAAGTTGGACAAGCCAATTCGAAGAAATGGTGACATGGCTGCTCCCTGCAAAGTGACAAAAGACAAAGTTTGTTTTGGACTTTAAAATGTATTATTTTTGGTGTACCAGCCCCACTTAACCATTGCTTTATCACAGACAGCCACAGCCTCAAATTCTTCAACTATCTATTTGAACAAATGCATTTATTTCCCCTTCCACAAAGTATTTTACTGGGCTCACCCCAAACCACAGGCTGACTTGTCAGAGGCTTTCTGGAAGTCTGCACTATTCAACCTCATTAGTTAAAACTCTAACCTTACCCTTATTCTAATAGAGTTATGTTTAATAGTTGCTGCATAAGGCAAACATTCTTCAACATTTTATTTCTTCTGCTCAAGTTGGTACCAGTAAACAAGACACGGTAATAAGAATATGAGTTTACAAAGAGAGTCTATTTTAGGCATACCAATTAAATATGACACCACAAAATTCTTACATGGTCTATTTATGTGTGTGGTGGAATGGGTTCTGGGCAGTTAGCAGCTGATCCCTATTTGCTTTAGACATTTCCAGAAAGTCTGCTTTCTTCACAGTTGTGTGTGTGTAATGAGCCTTAGAACATTATGAACTACTTAAAGAATCCTAAATCATTGGACACCACAATAAAGTAGACCTTTATTGGATATGGAAGAACAAAGTACTTCATAAAAGTCAGAGAAGTAATACGTTTTCTTAGAGATAGGTGAAAACCATCACTGCGTTGGCGACAAATTCTAGGAATCTATTCTGATTCTTTAGATGCACCTGACATTCCGTATTTATTCTTGTTTGGCTGCTTACCTCACTAAACACTTTTAAAAGACAACAAAAACATTTTCCCATGACATTCCATCAATTTGAAATGATCATCTAGTATTTAGTGAGAAAGTTAATTCCTTGCTTCTTCTATCTTCTTGAGCCATTTACTTGTCATGAATTTTCACAAACGTTAAGTAAGCCAGAGATAAAAAAACAAAAACAAAAAAACAAACCAGTAACTGCCTTTTCCATCTTGTAAAATGGAAGAATTTACTCGAAATAACTGAAACCCAGATGTGAGAATCAATGACATGATTGGAAATCCTAGTCCCATCCGTCTTAACCTGACAGTCACAGAAGCTGGTCAGCCTCTTTCCGGCATTCTCTAAGTAGTTTTTGAACCTATAAAGAATCAAATTGGGGCTCTTGACAACTGCTGTTGATTTCATGGATATTAAGAAAGTACCAATTTCTTCAGTAGGTTAGCAGGTTTAACTAAAGGAGATGATTATGTAAACACCATGATTTATTAGGTGGTTGTCTCTGACACCATGCTGTACATGCCACACTGTAGGGCTAGCAGCAGATCACTTCCAGATTTGCCTTTATGGATCCTCCTTTGCACTCTGAGCATAGAATTCTTGGACAGGAGCCTCGCTAACAACAGAGTTCTCCAGAGAGGGCTTTGGAGCCCTACTCTTTCCTGAGCCATCAGTCTTTTAGACAAATCTGTATCCCTTCACTAAACAGGAAAAATCACTAGGAACTATCCTCATTTATGAGGATTTACCATATATGGACTTTTAAAGGATTTCCTCAGTAAGAGTAAAGGTAAGTAAGTAATTCTGATTTTGAGTGTGGAGGGATCATGGACTCATAAAAGCCTGAATTACAACCACTCTGACCCTTTAGTGACAGATGTGTCATTGCTATTTCCAGCCTAGGCTCAGAATTAGGCGACTGCAGCTTAACATGCATTTGGGAAATCTCTCTGGGGAGTAGACAAAAAGTGCTCGAGTTATTAGGGTTCCTATTATAGCATGGAAGAGTGTTGCAGTGAAGTCCATCTGTCCCAAAGGACTTGCTTACCCATCAGCAATTTCATAAGTAATTCAGCTCCCCTTGCCATTTCACCAGATTTTCTTGCTCTAACCCCTCACCCAGAATCACTCTGACAGTTTACACAACACACAGATCTGTTGATAGCCTGGTCATTGCCTCTCTTTCTAAATCTACTCACAGTGATACAACCTGATATATATACATATACATATATATATATATATATATATATACACACACATATATATATACATATATATGTATATATATATACATATACACATACTATATATATTTAAAATGTATATTTAAATACACATAAATATGCATATTTATGTATATTTAAATATACACAAATATGTATATTTATGTATATTTAAATCTTCATATAGATATTTAAAGATTTA